TCAGACCTAATGAACAAATATGGGATCATCAAGACTTCTTGCCATGATATGGAATTAATAACGGAAAAGCTCTACACCAACCTTCTCCCTTTCACAATCCCCGTCTCATACCCTAAAATCCTCGCTAGAGAAAAACTACCTGGAATTGTGCCCTCTGAGGTTCAAGTTGAGACAGAAAACATTAAGAAAGGCACAGGTCTAGGATCCGATAATATTACTGCTGACTTTCTTAGAGCTAGAAGCCACTATTTACAGGTAGTCCTCGCAAACTACTTGACATCCTAACTTCAAAAGGAAAAAATCCCAGAACAGTGGAGAGCGTTGCACACGGTCATCCTACCCAAGAATGTGGCCGAAGGGATCTCCGTAGACGTCACTCGATGTGGTTGTTGAGTATACTTCACAAGCTCCTTACGAAGATTACCCTGTCACGTATAGCAGGGAAATTGGATGAGGTACAACTATTTGAGCAAGCAGGAATTCGACAGAAATTTTCCGGTATAAACCACATCCAAACTGTGTCCAGGATCATCAAAGGTTTTGGGAATACCACCCTCCCTTAGTCCCGGTCTTTGTCCACTGTGAAAAAGCTTCCGATATTTTGGAAACAAACGCAATTATATTAGCGCTCGTCGGCCAAGGATTGGATCCATCCTATATAAGAACTCTAACTGTTGTTGGAACAGCAGTACAAAGACACAGCTTTTCTGTCGACCTCTTAGCATACCCATAGGAAAAGAAGTTCGACAAGGCGACATATTATGGCCAAAGGTGTTTAGTGCGGTACTGCGGTGGAAAACAAAGTCACTCAACTGGGACGAGAAACGCTTACGTATTGATGGAAAATTCCTATCAAATCTTCGTTTCCGGACGACATCAGTATCTTCTCAAGGAGTACCAACGAAACACTGACGATGATCAATGAGCTCCGTGATGCGAAGAAAGATCGGAGCACTGATAAAGGAAGAAGACCCGGCTCACGAAAAAGCCATTGTGCAAAGTCGAAAAAATTGCGTATACATTGAGTGTTCAATGGACATAGAGAACAACATGAGGGAGGAATTTAACAAAAGAAAGAGAGCAGCTTGTGCCGCTTTCGGGCCTCTCAAAAAAGCCACCGACCAACCGAAGGACCAGAAAACACGCGCCCACCTCACCTTTGATTCAACAGTCCTCCCAGCGATCTGTTATACAGCAAAGACGTGGACTGATACTTCAGTCAAGTCAATAACATTGCGCACTACTCACAGAAGGCTTGAACGATGTCTTCTGAAATATAACTGGGATATTCCATATCTAACCGGAATGCGAAGCTCTGGTCGTCGAAATTTGTCCATCTTCGAGATCTAGGAAAATAAACATCGATAACGAAACATAAATGGCTTGCTCACATATTGAGAACAACAGACGTCAGATGGACAAAAACAGTTGCAGAATAGACTCTATGAGGATGCAGACGTTTGCTAGGACAACCACCTACAAGTTGGGTGGACGTGTACCTAACTAAAGTCAAGCCGCTCTTCTCGCAGCTGCAGTTTTTTTACAAATTACGGTATGAGACTCGCACCCGCCAACATGTTCGAATCAAACCAGTACCATGAAAGACGATTGCGAAGGAAAGAGATGAATGGAAAATGTACTAAGGTTCGCACAGTTGGTGAAGACTGGCCGCCCATGTATCCAATTAAGCTTATTCCACTGAACTTAACTCGATGCTCCTGGAAAACTCACTCATAGCAATAGGAAACAGTCATGGACAATCAACTAGAGCTTGTTCTGGAGACGGTGGTGTCACCGAAACACCAGCTACAGGAAAGATTTTTCCATACCAGTATAGGTTCACTGTTGAAACAACATAATTTTAAATTCATCTTCTTCACCTTATCAGTTTGTATTTCTTGAGAATTCAACAAATCTGCCTCAAAACTCGAGAAACGTCCAGGTTTTTCATTTACAGGGGAATGATAAGAATATGTTAGAAAAAGTTTGAAGTGACGAATAAGTTTGGAGCCTTTAGAAAACAAATTCACCACTACCAATCAGCTATTCAAGCCGGTTCGAAATACATTCGCTCTATGTGACACGCTACCATACATAAACAGCTGGAGTTTCTTAGCTGAGATATCATTCAATTCCAAGCATGTATGGCAATTCCTGAGAAGAGAAATCTTAACGTCAAGAAACACGTCGTCCATTTAAGACGAAGGATCCAAGAATATAGCATGATGTGTGCCTGAAAGAGCTCTATTGAACGTTCAATATAACTAGTTTGCAATTACTGTGTCCGACGATGGACTAAGGGACCATGTTGCCTTCCTATTGCGATTACAAAAGAAATGGAACGCGAGCGACAGTGAAATACGTTTCCTTCTCTTTACATACATAAATGGACGACCAAATCAATTTGTGGTAAAAGCACTTGTTCGATACGGTTGAAAGGATTACCGTTGTGTTAATGGAAGATCGGTGCCATTTAGTGCATTCATCACTCTACCACGACTACACATTCTTAGAGGATTGTAAAGTTGTAATTCCTCGCTAACTTACTTGTTACTCAAAAAGGCCTCTTTAAATTACTTATCTCAGTTAGATAGTTCTATGGCTCACTCACAAATGCCGTCGAAGTCCCAGAACTTCAATTTGATTTATTCTCTTGTAACCGTTATCTATGCAGGTGGTGGATTCAGCGGTCACTAAAGGATCTCTTCCCAGTTTTCCTCGCTACAGTGTCGAGCGCTGGTTTAATAATGACTGTTTTTATTAAGGTCATGACATAGCTGTGGCTTGGTATGTCATATCTTTAATTACAGCAGTCGCCGTCCTTTGTAGGATTGGAGAGGTAACTAGCCACCGTGTAGCTTGTATGTTACCGCAACGACAGCAATCTTGCATTGAGTTGAACGACCTCTTGATTGCTATGTGCCTTGCAAAATACGTAGCTCACATCCATCGTTATTCATTTTCTGTTATGCATTTATTTCTATGCTTGCGCGACCGGACATAATCTGACACTTCAACTTTAAACGAACCTATTTCAGCATATTGCTGAGTTTCTTAGGCAAAAACGTCAGAATCTACATACCTTCGCGGATAATATATACACACATCTTTACTTCACCACAGTGAAACCTCAGTTTCCCACCAATTGTTCTTCACTTGTTTGAATAAACGCAAACTTCGTCGACGACTCAACGGTCTCCGTGTGGATCGTTGATGATAACGACAGCGCTAAAGGCATAAAAGAAACTCCAGATTCCTTATTTTATTAATATATTTAGGTCCCTAGGAAATTCCATAGATCTCTTAACAATTCAAACGATCGAGTTTCTATAAACCTCGGCAAAAATAATCAGCATATCTATATGTTACTACGAACTCCCCTTGTTCAGGTGATGCGAGGTTGGTTTGCTGTTGTTGTTGTTCGATGTATGACGTTTCCGCGACTTCACTTTCCCAAAGCTGTGCTGTTGCGAGTGGGACTCACTCCAACCTCGGATCAGCTCAATAAGTGCAGTTCGTAAGAACATATATGGATATATTCTATAGATTCTTGAAGCGATACGGAACTACATCCTTTGTGAGTCCATAACACCCAGTGCCCAAGCACTTTAGTTGTCAAAGAATCAACATCGTTACGTATTAATTCTTCTCCCAAATTGTCTCTCAAATAAATGGGAAAATTTATTTTCTATAGATGTTAGATGAGCCTTAGAACCATATCAACAGACAACAATGAATCAAATCAACAATAACAATTTGATATCCAGCCGTTCAGTCGACATTATAAACAATACAAAACCTTGGCTACAATCCTAAATATACCAACAACACCGAAACTTGGAAAAAAATGGTAACCAAACCTTGCTTAGGGCTTACAAACATAACAGAGCATAGGAAAACATAGCAAGACGATTAAGCTAACCATCACCAATGATTTCTATATGATGTAGTGCTATATAAATGATAAATTCCATATAAGTTTGCAATAACAAATGCTAACAAATCATCACAAGTGAATGAGTTTTTACCAGGTTGTTTTACAAACCTATCAAGATTTTTAATGGAATTCATACTACTCTACCTTTATATGGGGTAATTAGCAGGGGGATTAAAGGCTATTTATATTTGTTATATGCTGCATACACTGCAACTCTGTTTTATACCAAGGTAATAAGACCATCACACCGCGTTTGAGAAGGAACTACCACGACTGCTGTTTTTTCGACGTCGAACCGGGCTCCTTATGCGCTTACTAGGGGAAGTGCTCTTTCGTGTCCTTGATGGGCTACGCAATGATAATGTATTGTCGACCATGTTCCTCAACTCTCTCCATTTTTCGACCCAGTGTCGACGTTCTTCCAGTACAATCCTTGCGTTCTCTGGGCTGAATAAATCAACATTTACAATAACAGCGTGCGAAAACTTATTATTTTTTATTATTATGTTCATAACATCAGAATACAATATAATAAAGAGATTCCATGAATTAATTCATCTAACGGAACTTATACCGATAAGTAAGGATTATACGTAGCACGGATAACGTGACGAAGAAGGACAAAATATAGAAAAAACACTTTTCTCTAGACGTTTCGAGAGCAAATTTCTTGAATCTAACAAGCCGGATTGTCAGGTTTATACTTTGCAACTACACGTTAAATTCATTGGTACGAGTATGATTGCTTTGCGTCAATGTACTCTGCAAATCGACTTGACCGAAAGTCTAGAATCAAGAGGCTGTGAGGTTAAAAGTGATGTTTACTCCGAAGAACTGCATGCAACAATCTCTATCCCGCAAAACCGCAAAAATGAAGGGTTTTACATTAAAAATGCGACGGTTTTCCGCATCTCCCAAGGATTAGTACCTACTCCGAAGCTGCTGCGCATAACGAGGAGCAATTACTACTCTACTATTAACTACAAAACTAATACTATCACATGTAGTAGGTACAAAATTAATGGTTGCTTCAGTTTTTCGTCGAGCAAAAAATCTTGGAATTTCAACGATAAGTTCCACTACCGGAATCATCATAAAAAACATTCGTCAAGTACCTTTCTGAGAATACCGGATCCGGTGCTATACGCAGTTTCCAGGTTTTATCTCCTGGCACGGCGAATGTTGAAAGAATATCTTCAGCATCCTTGGAATTTATTTTGAAGCACCTCAATACAATGAGTTGTCATAAAAATACAACAACTCCTGTGCAACTTTTGCGATCTCAAATAAAAAACTCTATGAGGCTAAAAACATTAATATGTAAGGAAATATTCCAAAAAAAAAAAATTAGATGGGAAAATAGCAGAAATGCCTAATATTCTCCATGAAGTTAGACTTTTAGTAATCCTTTAAATCATAGATATTACTTGATCAGTAAAGCGCGAGTAACAGGTTGGCCGAAATCAAGGATACAAAGGGAAAGATCTCGAGCGCATCGCCACATTTCCGCACGGTGTTCGTCCAGCTGAAATTTTCATAGATTTGTCAAGATACATCGCTTCTAACGGCAAATCCTAGACGTATTTCTAGAGGAAAACCACAAAGTCGGACAAGTTTACAAATGCATTCTATAGTACTATTACATATTCCACAGTACTTCCACCTATAACTGTGATTGGCGAAACAAATCGGGTGTGAATTTGCTTAAAAGCATTTCGACAACAATAGTGATAAGCGAACCAACCTTCCCAAGAGTAGTGGAATGCGCCACAGTTAGATCATGGAATAAGAACTCAGACTTTAAGACCCAAACACCTAAATTCACGTTCAAAGAGTAAAAGAGTAAAAAAAGAAAGTTGTAAATCCCCGCAAAAACTTAAGTAGTGTTGCAAATATCAAGCAGTATCGGCAATACCAGGAAAGTTTTACCTTGAACAAGCCTGGCGCATTCTTGAAGTTGCTGAAAGAGCTCTTCTCGTGTAAATGAAGAACCCACTAGTCGTACTATATCGTCTGTTCTTATAACACGTGCTTGAACGAATATATTTTTGACTCCATTCATAACAATTAAAATCCGCATAAAAACACTTACACTTGAATAACTGCGCTTTAACTTGCTGGTGAATGGGCATTTCTCGGATTTCTTGCTGAGAGGCCAACACATTGCTGCGAGTGAAATCACTGAAAATCACTTCTGAAAAAGTTGTCAGATCATATCTACTACCAGCTGTTAACACTGTTTAAACTAACAAAGAGGAACCTCAACGTTCCTCATTTCACCAAGGTTTTAAAAAACAATTTTCAGTCTGTCTCAGTGAATGGACGACTTGTTTCTGAACAGTATATTACGTCCATGCATATTTTCTATGCATAACGCACCATATGCATTGAATACAATGCATATAATGTGAAAATAACGGCCACCTTTACATTAAACTCGTCTAGTTGTAATGAAAACCGTCAGAATTTACAGATGACTTCTTAGAAGAGCTCTTCTATTTCACAAAGATGAAATTCCGACTTTGTGGACTCGATGACACGTAATTCTTTCATACTTTTGCGTCAACTTTAGTATTTCAAAGATGAAACCATCTGAACAATCGAGATTCCGTCCAACATGATCCAGTGGTGTTCTCCAATATTTCGTTTTAGTTAGCAGGTGTTGTGTTTACGTTTAAAACTTTAAAGATTTGAAATTCGTTTTCAACTTTTTAAAAATCCTAATTCCAAAGATATGTAAAGCTAAACATTTTACAGAACAATATGATTAAGGTGATAGAACGATTTTTCTGCTATAAGGCCGTACAAATTAAATACTCTTTTGAACGAAAAATCATCGCTAATTTTTAAAGAAACCATTTTGGCTCAATAAGTGCTTAAGTGCAGACTTTACATTATATTTCTATATTTTTACAACCATGTACTCGATTTTGTACATAAAATACGTTAGAAAGCTGGTAGGTATTCAAACTTGAACTCAAAGGTTTGGAAATGTCTAATTTCATCGATGTTACATTTTACCAAGGAACGTTAATGGTTGTGCATCAGTGCGATTGTGCAGATATTCCTTGATGTTGATGGGGCCATCAATGTGAAAGGACCTGGGACGACCTGCTGTCATTGAGGATAATTCGGAAAAGTGAGGTAGATAGATGCACAGCTGTTTAACCGTTTACTGTGGAGGCTGGGATAAGCAAAAGTTTCGGAGCAGCACAAGTGAAGTGTAAAGTATAAAAAAAAACGAAAAAGTGCAAATTAAACGAGAATAGCTAAAAAATCGAAAGAAAACGTCTCGTCGTTACGTAAGATGGGACAAAAAAAGAATGTTATCTTGCAACTCGTGAGCAAAAATGAATCGATTCTGATGTTCTATACACTGACCATCAACTTTCATCATGGTCTGAAAGAGTATTTGAAATTTAGTTGAAATGAAACTAGTTTCCAAATAACACCACTTCTCTTATGTCTTCCAAAACTGACAATGTCAAACATAAGACAATTTCCAGCATCTAATTCTGACCACTGAAACAATTTGCTTCAGATCAGTAAGTCAATAACACTTTGATAATAACCCATTCCACCCGTATGGACACTATGGTGTCCATATTCAATTGTACAGATCTTTTTACCGCTTGTATATATTCATTCGATAGCAAAGCGAACACCTAATGATTTGTAAAATTACTTTTCCGAAAACATCCACTGACGTCTACTACTTTTCAGTGACAATTTATTGCTACTTTATTTCAATCGCTATGGTTATTGTACCGAATGTACGGATACGAAAATAACGAAATATAAAAGAGGATAAAGCTCTCGGCATTGATCAATCCCTTTGGAATGCGCCATGCATTCGATTTCATTAAGCACCATTAGAGGTGACTGAATCCATATCTAACCTTTACAATAACTCACAGTGGCCTACCTATGCATCAAGTCAGCGTCTTACTGTATTCATGTATATTCGCAGACAAGACTGGTGCCAATTTGCCGACCCTGAAGAGATGGAGGGCTTGTGGGCCTCGGACGCCGGGATCGATTCCATGTGTATTGCAGGGACCCTCCGACCACTACGTCACACGCTCCCAAAGAAATGTGCTCAACATAAATTGCAAAATATTCCAAATGCCGACAGCAATGCATTTGCAGCATGGACCAAAATGACATATAATAAATATTGGTATACATACCATTTATAACCCATGATAGAGCAGAGTTCTACAATCCGGTCATGTTAAAAACCCCGTTAACCCTCTAGTTATTGAAAAAAGAAACTCTTATTGTCAAAAAACCAGAACTACCGCAGTCAACGAAAAAATGCTCGTATTCGAATGGGCCAGAAAATAAAATCTACTCACACTTGCTCACGCTCATCACAAATAATACCGCGTTCGACGAGATCCCTAGTCGTTAATACTTCAAAGTTTTTCGATTCATTAAAGGAAAGAGGAGTCATCTGTGCGAGCTTTTCCTCAACTAATGGTTCCTAAAAGTTCTTCGGTACAAAAACAACTTAATGTCTGTGAAAAAAGGCAAGTAAAAGTTCGGTGTAATGTAAGGCGCGTACTATTCACTTTGATGATAGCAAAAAGCTGAACCAACAAACCTCTTTTAAATGAACTTCCATTGGTATCCATGAATCGCTTGCGATCAATTTTTCTCTATATAGAGCACTTGCTTCTCGTCGCTTCTTCTGACGTTCTGTTTCCAGTCTTGTAAATTTTACTCGGATCTTAAACAATCCAGAAGTTCTTGAGAACCAATCACAACAAAGAAGCTGAGTGCATGAAAACCTATACGACAAAAAGAGGATCTTTCAATCCTACCACCAACGAGCAACATCTCTGTCTACGACGGTTACATTTAAAACTAGCTCAATACTTTACTACATATAGGCATTTCATTCACAAACGGCTTTTTCTCTGGATTCATCTTAAAACTTCCACAAAAAAAACGCTTTATAGTTCAAAACTTTAGAGCCAATTCGAAGATTTCATATTCGCATGTGAAAACTATGACCAGCTATTGTGGTTCAAACAAAAAATCAGAAAAAGTGTAAAGTGCTTTGCTCGATAGCATTGAAAAATAAACATAAAATAAGATAATTCTTACCAGACCAATGTCGCATCGTTAAGCAATTTAAAACTATGGGATTTGGGCAAGTAGCTTATAATTACTTAAGCTTAAGTAGTAAAAACTTCACATAAATGTTAAAACTATTACCATTCACAGCAATTTTTCAAACTAGTGCATAAAATTTTCAAAAACAAGGGGAATAATCCCTTTCGGAGAGTGTTTTAAGTGTTTCTGACTCTAAATCCGTAATTTCTAACTAATTAAGAGTTCTAAGCACTGTAACAAAGTTCGAACAATGTCATCAACAGCCACTGAGCCCCACTTCTGACATTTTTCATGAAATTCCTTCTAGTTCTTGAAGGCAGAAACAAAAAGCAACCACTACCTGTTTGGCGTCCGCTTTTGCCGACTCGGAATCCGACTCGCCTGATGCTCCACCTATATACGCTCCACAATACAATATAATGAATGATGAACAGAAATGCAAAGTATTGATTTAAGGAGACGTACCATCGTCTTCACGGTTTACCTTGGTCGCATTATTAAGATGAGCGAGTGACATGTGCATTTCGAAGGTGCCGGCGATTGGACTAAGGAAGAATGTGTCTAAATAAAATGACTAATAAAAAGATACAAAGGCAAAAACGACCATTTGAACGTCTAAACAAACTTTCGCGAAAGAATCCAACGGCAAATTGAACGTAATCATCTCGCACATATGACCGACCTTCGTAGATTTCATCGAATTTTGTTGGAGCACTATAAAGAAAAATGAAAGCGTTTACTGTTTGTTAACTTAACAAATAAATGCGCCGTAACAGTCTAGTGAATGAAGATCTAGCCTATTTGATGAAATGATAAAGGATAAAGCTCTCGGTGTTGATTAATCCCTAAAGGACGCACCATGCGACTTCACTAAGCATCGTCGGAAGTAAAGAATGCACATATGGCGTGTAAAACGATTCGCAGTGGCATGTCGACGTATCGAGTTAGTGCTGCTAGCCTCGCAGACAAATGTGGTAGCAATCTGCCAACCTCAGAGAAATGGAAGGCTTGGTGACCATGAGACGCGGGGATCAATCGCATGTGTATTGCAGGGCGACTCCAACCACTGCGTTACATGCCGGCTGCGATGAAATGAAGCAGGCCAATTCAGAGTTTCCTCAGTGTGAAGAATTAACTGATATATAAAATGAACACGGGATTACTATGAAACCGGTTACCTACTTCACGTTTTAGTAGCATAATCTTAAACAGTCACAGAGAGGCAAAAAAAGTTTCCCTTAACGATTACACTCACATATCATTCTCAGATTTCACGATTGGTAAGTTCATAGCAGCAAAACGTTCAGCCTTTTCCTTATCAAATGACCCACTCGATACATCGGGAGCGAGACGCATTTCCATCTGAAATTCGGATCAACGGACGTTCTTCACACAAAAAAATTGTGAACAATAGATTATCAGCTAAATGAATAAGAACGCGCTGTACCAGAAAACCCCGAACAAAAAGAACGACTATAATGCTGAGATAATCTTAGCCGCTTTATTTGCTGTCTACTCTCTTTAATGGCAGGGTATATTGCGAAATATAACTTCAACGATGCTGAGATATTTGCAAAACTCTGGACCACAGGTGTCTGCGGTGGAGAACAAACACGCTATTGTCCTTTCCGGGGACTAACGCGCTCAATCCCACTGACGGGTGATTGCTGATGGCAGAGATCGATAGAACTAGCTGAGAGACAGGCGAAACGAAGGACCCGTATGGTGTGGTGGTGAACGCGTTACTCCCCGGAAAGGACAATAGCGCGTTCGTTCCCCACCGCAGACACCTGCATCATTGAAATGGTGAGATATCTGCAAAACGATCGAACTTCGTTGTTACCCTTTCCAGGGACTAACATGGCAATGTGGTGAACACGTTAGCTCCGAAAGGAGAACAATGTTACCCTAGACCTTATTTTATGCCATAAACAAACCTTCAAATAATCTACCCTCATTGTTGTGAACGGAAAAGAACGTAAAGTACCCCGCTTACCATTTTCACGTTCTTCTTATAACGAATTCGCGGATGCCGTTCGAAGTTGAATGCGTCTTTTTTCCTATCAGGAAAATGTAGGCGGTAAAGCTCGGTGTTTGGAAGCTCGTTACAGACCACCACATCAAACTAAATTAGAATTAGTAAGAGAGACGTTCCAATGGAAGCAACATAGTTTAAACCAATGGTTTCTCAAAGACAACCTTTTTTATAAAAATGTAACCCATTAAATCAATATGGGTTGAAACTCGGTTTACTATGGCATTAACTTATAAAACTACATTACCTAGGTGCAACATCTATAATCTTTCAGACATTCACTACTACTATGGTAGACGAATTTATAAAACGTTTTTCTCCAATCGGCGCAGTAAACGCATAAAAGGGTAAACCTCTCGGCTTTGGTCAATCCCTGAGGGATGAACCATGCATTCGACTTCATTAAGCATCATTTGGAGGCGAGTGGATGCATATCTGGCTTTTATAAATGACTCGCGGTGGCCTATCGATGCATCGATTCAGTGCTGCTATCCTCCCAGACAAGTCTGGTACGAATTTGCCGACCCCAGAGGGATGGAAGGCTTGGTGGGTTACGGGCGTGGGGACCGATTCCACGTCTGTGTTGCAGGGCGCCCCCGACCACTGCGTCACACTCGTCCTTAGTTCGGCACAGTATTCCTCGAAGAGCCCCACCTTTTCAACATTTAAATTTTAACTCGAGTTTTCGCAACATAGCGTAACGAGAGTTTTTCTTTTCATTTCACATGACCCGTCATCTAGCTACTGTGCGTATCCCAGCACTTCTCATGTTCGGTTCGTTTACCTCCCGTTCATCGTCCACAATGGTTACTGGTCGAGCCAATTCTCCTCCCATTCTTGGAGATAACCGCGCTAAGGCGTTCCCACGTTGATTGAAGGAAAGCATTGTGGCGAGGATCAAACTAGTGCCTTTTGGTCGCTGATCGACGGTATCACTAACCACTCTGCTTTCCCTGCCCTTATTATTTTTATTGACGAATTTCATAGTTTAGTAGTACAGAAGACGTCCATGCTTTTCACCTGGTTATTTTCCGACAGATGTTATGAGGTCATAAATTCTATTTTACGCGGTCTTAACAAAAAGGAGTGTGAATTGATATCTATACCTATTACTCCTGAATGCTCTCAACAGTTTATCGCCTCATCGTGGCTGGGAGGTGTTCCTGAGTATCGGACTGCAATGCACAGCGGGAGATTCATTCCCTGGCAAGGTCTACCAAGCTGCGAAGGAGCCCAAAATTTCCATCAGGAAGCCTAGCTAAGAGTAAACCAATACCTGGAACCCCCATCGTCCTGGTATCAAAGTCGCAAAGTGGCAAATCTCTCCATCTCTGATCCACACGGGCTGGGACTACCTGCGGTGGTAAAGACCTGGGGCAGACTTTGGCCAGGCTGACCTCGGTATTCCAGGAAACCACAATGGCTTAACCAACGAATTTCCAAAAAATGAAGATTATGCTGGGGCCCGCACAACCAGTGAGGACGGGCCATTCAAGTATCAAGTATCAAGTATTGCTCCTGAACACCGGGCAGGATGACCTCCACTATATCGATAACTATTGTCCAATGTGTTTGCTATCTGTCGTATACAAACGCTTCTCTCGAGCGATCCTAAACAGGATTGACAGAATACTGGAAACACTAAAGAGTGAGTGTTAGTGTTGATATGTAAACACTGTCCTTTTAAACACTCCATCAAGCTTCAATAACTTCAGTTATTTCACCTACCTCTCAACGGCTTATCGCTCCATCGTGGCTGGGAGGCGCTCTTGGGCGTCGGGCTGCCCTGTGCAGCGGAGAGATCTATCCCTTCAGCAAGGTCTCCTAAGTGAGGAGTCCGGTGTTTGCGTCAGAAGGCCCAGCCAAGAGTAAACCAATACCGGTATGCACCATCGTCGTGGCATCAAACTCGTCGCATGGTAGAAAATCTCTCTCTCACCAAGGGCGGCGGCTGCCTATGATTGTGACGACCTGGTACAGACTTCGGCTAAGGTGACCTCGGGACTCCACAGAACCACAATTGTTAAACCAACAAAACTACGAAAAAATGGAAATCATGCTGGAGACCGCAGAACTAGTGAAGATGGGCCATCCTAGTATCCAAGTAATTAAGTACTTCACCTAACCTCTTTGTTCCACGTTGATTAAATTGTTTAACATATTGGTCACCTAACTATGTCATTAACACCCCAAGCACATGCATTAAATAAAACTTTATAACGTTAATTTTTTCATTTCCTGCCTACCACAATTTTTAACGGAAAGGTAATATGTGAAATTCAACCACAGTGATGCTGAGATATCTGCAAAACTCCGGACCGCAGGTGTCTGCGGTGGGCATCGAACGCCCTATTAACCTTACCAAAGGCTAATATGTTCACCACCACACCATGCAGGTGCTCAGTTTCCGCCTATCAGCTAGTTGAAACTTCATAGTTTAACGAAATAGCGTACCTCTTTATTAAATGTTTTACTGTGCACCAAACTAACTAATAGAAATTACGAAAGATCCAATTGAAATCATACTAAGGATTTTACCAAAAATAAAGAGCAATATGGAGAATTTATCTACTAAAACGCCCTAGTTTCGTCGTCCTGCTAATACCCTAGGCTCATAGGGTTACCTAATGAGAACAGTGTTCCTAAGCAGTCCCTACAACACCAGTCAGAGTGTGACTGTTTAAAGTGATTGAAAGATTTAAATAACAAAGTCTTACAGACTCCGGTTCCCAACCACATACTAAAATATTTCTTGAATAAAAAGTTGAGTGGTTTTCTACATGGTTGTCAGCTATGGAGAAAATTGCTTCTTGAATCCTCAATAACAATAATAACCAAACCTCTAGTTCACTCTCACTTCCTCCCTCATCACCAGAATCCAGCACGGTTTTGATTTTCCGGCTCTTCTTCTTTCGTACTACAACGTCTTCATCGTCATCCATCGTGAGCGATAACTGGATCAACAGAACTATTGGAAAGACGGTCAACAGAAGAATGTCAGGTACGTCCTTATGATCAGAATTTACCGAGCCAAAGACTCATACGCAGTGAATCAAGCACAAGACTAATGGAAAACCGCAGTTCAATAAGTGTTTCAAAAATTCAAGAAAAAAAATGGAATAGATGATTTCAAGAAATATAGAAGATTCAAGGATTTCATCGAATCCAAACCAAGCTTGATCAATCGCTACTATGAAACAATAGCAAATGGTCGGATCTACAGATGACCTCCGAATAGAACCTCGGTCCTCGAATACACTCGATAGCATCGCTCTGAGAGGTACTAACATTTCAACTACTAACCTTCGACAATGCTACCTGTCCTGCGTCAGACATTCACTTCTTTCTGGACCACACTCATTCATTCATGCGCTTTTTTTTCTTCTGGGGGAGAAAAAAAGTGGTGCCAGTTGCACACGTGTTAGTCCCAGTGAAGATTATTGGTTCATTTTGTTGGAAAAGTTTAGAGGGTTAGAAGGTGCATGTCTTGTACTACAGGAACAAATTTTAATAAAAACTGGTTGCCAAAGAAATCGCTGCAATGTGGGGGAGTGAAAGAATGATTCCAGGAACTCTTGTAGAACACCGATGGACAAAAACGTTCGTTTACAGCAACGGTTCTGTTCCAAAGCTGTATTCTTAATTGTATCCTCGCCTTAAGATTAACCTCTATGACCATTTCTCGCACGAGTCACCTACAATAAACAGTTTTGGAATAGGTTAAACCTCAGTGGAACTCCAACGTGGTGGAGTGTCCCTGGATGTATGTCAAACTGCGATGGATTGTGGACGTTCATCTCCGTGGTGTGATTTCTATTCAGACTAAGGAGTCCTACATTTCTATCTAAGAAACAGCCTAAGAGTAAATAAGTTCCGGAAGGCTTGTTCTGTTATTCTGGCAACAACCTTGTCACTAACCGACAACGGGTGGTGACTTGGGAAACTCCTAGTACGGTCTTCAACTTCAAAACTCCATAGCAAGCAGTGTTGCTCAACCGGCAAACTAACAATATAAAATGTGCCGGAGTTTAAACAAATCTTTCTGAGTCGTAAGACAGATAATTGAAGCATGCAGATGAGAACACGTCAACACCGAATTTGGAACTGTACAGTTCACTGTGGTACTCGTGATGGTCGACGAAGCACTTTTATTCGACGATTAGCGCGTAAGGGCCGCAATCGATATTTACGGCTGTTGAAGAAAATGTTATTCAAGAAATGAAGAAAGTGCATGTTCTAATCCACTTATGATAGCAAACGGAGGTGATTCGCAACTTGTACTTGCATGGTTACTATGCTGGTACTTACCAACGAATGTACTGAAGCAGTACCAAAGTTGGCGCGTTGACGTCAATCCGTTGATTTTTACTGTCTGGATGGAAACACTTCTGTTTCATGTTTGTATGCATTGTTTACAATTCGCTATAATCGTAGTTGTCACTCTGTATTCTATCTGTTGTCGACGTGAATACTTCAGTAATCGATCGTTTGGAGTTCCCAGAACGCATGGTTCGACAAACGACTTTAGCTCGAATAGCACTTTCCGTGAGCAATTTCAGTCAGAAAACAGGTTTTGGTCCAAATCGTCTCTACAGGAAAGGTGTTCACTTCGTAGGAACGGAGCCTGATGCGTTGAAGTATCACTTGGTAATTTTGTTCTCCGTCCAATTTTGTGTCCGTACTTAGTGTTTTTGCCTTTCAGCTTCAAGACAAGAAGCCTGGTGAGCCTTATGGGCTGCAAGGTTCCAACCACTTGCTGCCAGGTGTCGGTAAAGTCCACTCTAAACTGCCTGTTAGGGTACGGCTTATTTTCTGGTTTTGCCTTCACGCATGTAATGCATTCTGAATTCATCTTGGTATAATGCATAGGTTTTAGGTTTATATGAAGAAGGACAAGGTATATTCATGGTGCAGTTGTGGTTATAGTGGAAACCAGGTAGTATATTCTTATCCTCACATCTTTTTCATTTGCGACGAGACGATGCCTAATTTTTTGCCCGAATTGAAATCAACCCATACCGGTCGCTCTTCTTTCCGCAAAATGAACCAGCTGTTTCTGTTGTACTTTTGGGTCCATAATTCTGTTTCTCTGTAGATTTTATTGGCGGCTAGTATTTTTTATTTCCTACGCATCCTCTGTGCTCTTCTACGTCTGTTTCCACTTTTGTAAGATATCTAACCCTGAGAACCTCTTCTGTCATTCAACCATTGGGCTTTCTTCGTCACTGCTTTAGCAAGATGTACTGAGTGCATTTCACCCTCCTCACTCATTCTTAAGGGTGTGTGTAGCGCATTGGTCGGAGGAGACCTGCAATACAAATGGGGTTGATCCCACGCCCCAAGCCTACCAAGTCCTCTATCCCTCTGGGCTCGGCAAATTGGTGCCAGACTTGTTTGGGAGGATAGCAGCACTAGTTATAGACATGCATAAACCACTGCGAGTCATAGTAAAGGCCAGATATGCATTCAGTCACCTCCAACGATGCTCGATGAAGTCGAATGCATGGCGCATTCCTCAGAGATTGATCAACGCCGAGAGCTTTGTCCTTTATCCTTTACGTGTTGTGGTATCCTTGTGTTGATGAAGGGAGTTCGAAGCGAGTTTTTAGTGCTGCGGTTTTGGAAACTATTACTTAGTATTTATTTGTATTTTTAAATAATATGGTTGGAATGAAATCGTTCGGAACACGTCTGTGAATTATCATACTTCCATTCCAGCCACTGTGTGATGGTTCGCATAACTCGGTTCGAATTCCAGACTTGAAATTGAAACCAGTACGCTTTATTCCCGATAATGATATTACAGTATGGTTGTGTAATTGCAAGCAAACAAAAAATCGGTGAGATGTTGTCCTTTAAGCAAATTCTTTTTTATTTCTAGGTTGCGTAGTTTCTAATACATAGTGTTTCTGCTATTCAGAGCGATCTTTATATGAATTACAATCATTTAGACCATTTTGCGACGGATCTCATAAGAAACTCGTCGATAAGAAGAATACAAGTCTTTTTGACTGAGTGTCCTTAATAGGGTTTTCAGTTTCATAGAGGTGTACTGTTTTTATCACACATGTTTCACGATTTCATTAAAGTATAAATGAATCCATTTGCAAAAAATCTTTCTGTTTCATTTGCCCACCACTTTTCTCACTTGGAATTACAACCATTTATGGCCGGAATTTTTGAAATGGGCATAATTACTTGGAGACTTAGATGACCCATCTTCACTGGTTGTGCCGGCCTCAGCATAATATCCATTTTTTCGGAGTTTTGCTAGTTTAGCTATCGTGGTTCCCTGGAGTCCCGAGGTCAGCCAGGGCAATGTATGCACCAGGTCGTCGCTACCACAAGTAGTTGCTTCCTTTGTGGATAAGAGGGAGATTTGTCACCATTCGACTAGTTCGCTACCAGACGGTGGTGGATTCTGGTATTGGTTTACTCTTAGTTAGGCTTCCTGATGGAAACGCGGCCTGGGAGTCCCTGCCAAGGTGATGAATCCGCACGTCCCCGCGGCGATGAGGCGGTAAACCGTTGTGAGGGAGGTGGGTGTATTTTTCGTAAATTTAGCAGTGCAGTAGTATATGACGGAAATTGGCAGTCGATATCAATCTTATAGTGTTCTTACGTTAGAACATTTCTACGTATTTCTATTACGAAAACTACGAAAAATTTTATATGGTGTACGCATCGGATTGTGCGTACTTTTTCACTGCACACACTATGAATCATGTGTAACCCACACCGTGCGTAGTACCCCTGTCAACAAATTATCTGGTGTGTTATACCCTTCACAAAAAATTAGCCTGCGTGTTCCTTTTCGCTGCATAATTTGGTTTTCCAATGCACTTGATTGCTGATTCTTACGTTTTGTACGTATCCTCAACGTGCTTCTTTGAATTCCTCCATAAATCCCTCTGTGAACACTTTCAGCTCTTTTTTGTGATGGAGAAGAACGCACCTATAGCAGCAGCTTGCAACCATTGTCAGAACACGTGTGGGATATTTTTTCTGTCAGTTTTTATGTTTTATACTTTCTTCTGTTCCATACGATAACTATGATTCATAAGTAACGATTCTAAAGTCAAGAATAGTTAACTGCTAATCAAAAATTGGATTTTACGTGCTTGGATCATATCAGGGAAAGCTGAAGTGTAGAACATAAACAAGATGGAAAAAATTCTAATTAGAATGAGGAACCTCTAATGCATCTCGACGAAGAATCTGAAGAAAGTGAATCATGCGATTAAGACGACGGTGTTGATAATGTGCTCGGCGGAGATTGACCAACTAATGTGGTTCCTCATAAATCCGAAAGCTTCAGTGAGTGGAACAGCTCGGTGCTGATGGGCAACTATTGATTGAATGCAGAGGAACAATACATTTTATGAATTGACGGATATTTGTCTTTTTTAACGGAAGCCAATAGATACGGTCAGGTGGTGTACTAGTTTTATAGGCTTAAAACAGTAGCAGTAGTGAAAGAACCACTTCTGTGTATAAGGGCGCCGCCGAGGGAGGTTACTTATTCGAGTAGTGCTCCATTCCAGGACATTTGACTCGTTGAGATAACAAAGACTCACACCGCGAGGGCGAACTGCTGTGGACAATCGACTTGGATCAACAGGACTCTGGAGAAAGCGAAGCCGTCGAAACGTTAGCCGAATAAGCGTTTTACAACAACTTCGTCTTGGCGGGATAATCTAGGAAATATTTTACCTAAACTGTTGAAATAGTGGTTACCGAAAGTGTAAAGAGTAGAGGTTGTAGACTGTAATGGTGACGAATTGTGTGTAAATGGTAGTTGGTAAAGTTTATGGGTTTTAGAGATTGTAAATTGTGTGTGAATATTCCGTAAACATTTGATTAGGAGGTTTGCTACACGTGAACTGTGAATGCGGGCTTACTGAATCCAAGAGTGCAATTATACTACAGTTACACCCGTATAGATCTCCTCAGTCGTATACCAATTTATCGAAACCAAAGACTATCCCTAAGTGTCGGACCTAAGTGTTCTCGGCAGCAACGATCTCTGTATTGAGTACACTGTTCACCTACAACAGTACAACCGCTAAATAGAGCTCGTTCGGAAAAATTGTTTCCTTGTAAATCCCTAAGTTTAAAAAACTGCTTATTAAGTCCATTGCCCCACACAGTGGTCTGTTTCGAATAAACATTCTACTTCACAGAAAAGTATCAGTAAACCAATTGTTCGACAAAATATAAAGCTGTGATGAGAATTTACTATTTATCTTTTATGTGCTCCCCACAACACGTGCGAATCGTTTACGATTGCCTCGAATTACTCCCGCGATTGTCTCAATGTGCTTTTGTTACAGAAGTTTTGAGAATGTGTTCTCGTTGCCACCAGGTATATCGCATGAGCATTCGTGCATAGTATTCTGCTTTTGACGTTGCTACACAACAACACCGTTTATTTCTACTATTAGTACTTAAGAACTGAGCTTGTTGAGTTGACACCAGATTGGTTATCGGTTGTTGTTGTTGTTGTTGTGGTTGTGGTTCGACAGCGTGTAATATACTGTTAACAGTATGTTGAAATAAGAAACCAAATGTGAGAGGGATGTTGTAGAAATTGCAATATTGACTCGGAATAGAGGCAAATGTTCAGTAGGAGAAAGCACTTCCAAATAACGTTTATTACTGCATCATAGGGAAATCTGATGATCTAAAATGTCGGGGAGCAGAAGAACACAGCTTCTTCTGTTCTGATGTGGAGAAAGCTGAGATTTGCTCATTAACAACATACAAAACTAATCAGCACACTCGTAGTAACGCCTGGTTTTCAGTGTCTATGCGATCAAAAGATGAGGTCTAATCATTTTACTCACTGTGGACTGCACTAAAATTGCGAATCAGTCGAATGGAACCGCTTTTAAACTACTGACAGCCATGTGTTCTATACCTTACTGAGGACAGGAGGTTTTCAATTTTCAATGCGTATAGTGATTGACAACTTCATAGAATCTAAACAATTTTCGACAATATGATGGAGATCTACGTCCGATAAGAATGAAATACCAAGTTCATGAATTCCATAAATCACTTCTTTAACCTTTTTATCGCCGAAGACTATGTTTCATAGAGTGAAGAGGTTTAACAATTGGGATTTTGTCTAACAACTCATAATGCTACTCCCAAGCACAAAGCCTTTGATGACATGGGGGTAGATGGTCATCATATGCGGTATAGACTAAATTGGAATTAAAGATGTCTTATTGAATACATGGATGTACAGAAGTAGAAAACTAGCTGAGAGACAGGTGAAACGAAGGAATCGCGTGGTGTAGTGGTGAAAGTGTTAGCCCCTGGAGAACGGTAATAGCGCGTTCGTTTCCCAGCGCAGAAACCTTCGGTCCGGAGTTTTGAAAATATCTCAGCAGCATTATGGTTATATGAAAGCGCATTTTATAGGAGAAACAGACCGTGAAGATGTAAAAACTAAGTATTGCAGGTGAAATTACCCCCGTCCCTCCGAAAATTATTGTTGGGTGAGGATTTTTTTGCCTAACGCAGGGTATATTTAGCTTTTCCACCTTCAATACCAGCTTATCGGAATTTAGCAACACACTGTGGTTACGTTTTCCCAAGGTTTGAAAATTATTTCCTTTTAGTGCTATTTGATGAAATCTCCTTTTTTAAGTTGCCATGTTCTAAATTCCTTCACTATCTGCGATTTCAAGAAATTGGAAAGTACTAATCTGGTCAGAGCTCTCGGCGTTGATCAATTCCTGAGAGATGCGCCATGCAATCGACTTCGTTTAGTCTCGTTGGAGGTGATTGAATGCATATCTGGCCTTTATAGTGACTCGCAGTGGCCTACCGATGTGTCGAGCCAGTGTTGTTAGCCACCCAGACAAGTCTGGTACCAATTCGCCGACCTAGGAGGGATGCAAGGCTTGGTGGGCCATGGGCGCGGGGATCGATTCCACGTGTGTGTAGCAGTGGCGCCTCCGACCACAGCGCCACACGCGCCACTGACCTGGTCAAAGAGTTAAACATATTAGTTGACACTGCTCAAACAGTATCATCCAATTGAGTGTGTTGAAAAATTTGCCAAAAGTGATATAGAAATACTGGAATATGGTATTCTATAGTATACAAGTGTGAAGTAGCCGTGTAATATCCCACGATGAGCACCTCTCCGTATTGTGTTTGTTCTTTTCGTTACTGTATTGACCATGGAATTAACTGCGGATAAATAAAGCTGATACGACCTTCAAGCTTCGTAAGTAATTCTGAAATCATCAGTGAATAGACCACACTTGCTGAGATGAGGTGTTCCCAGTGGTCGCATTGTAGGTGGGCCGAAAAGCTCTTTACAATCCAAAAAGCTCAACGATATTTTTCGATACCTGGAAACGTGTAGGTGTGATGGTTTCGGGACATAAGAAAAGTTTTGCATGAATTGCAAAATACCACTAAAATGGAAATGTTATGGTTTCGCACTATGGAACACAAATAGGGTTGCAGCATAGACTCCTTTAGCGCGGTGGTCGGAGGCGACCTGCAATACACATGGGATCGATCCTCGAGCCTCAGGATCACCAAGCATTCCATCACTCCGGAGTCGGCATTGGTATCAGACTGGTCTAGGAGAATAGCAGCTTTGACTCGGTTCATCGATAGGCCACCGCAAATAATTGTAAAGGCCAGATATGCATTCAGTCACCTCTAACAACGCTTAATGAAGTCGAATGTATGGCGCACCCTCAAAGATAGATCAACGTTGAGAGCTTTATCCTTTCTCCTTTTATAGGGTAGTGGTCAGAGGTGGTTTGTAATACACCGTGGTCTTTGGTTCCATCTGGCACCGCTGGTTCACTAACCCTTTTATCCTTTCTGGGTCAGGGGATTGGTTCCAGAGTTGTCTCAGAGGATAGCAACCCTGACTTGACACATCGGTAGGCCACCGCAAGTCACCGTATGGGCTGGATAGAGTATTTAACTTGTCAGCACTAAACGTTTTATCCACATTATTAATCAACATGTTGATTGACTTGCTCCTCAAGTTTCACTTTTCATAAAAACGCATAGCCACAGCGGGCTAATATTTACTCTTGCCGCTAACCTGCTGTAATGTGCTCATAGTGTTCGCTGCCGCAAGATTGCTAACTATCTAGTGTCGGTGTAACCATGTCATTCTGGCCAGACAGTTGGGCACTGAATTAATCTGACAAGCCATCTTCATATATTTTGAAGTGGGCATTCAATATGTTCTGAAATTGATCTAATTGTCAAATGTCTTTGGCTATCACTTCTCTGAACCATTCATAGAAAGGCTTTGTTAGACCTCGACGCCTTCGAAGAGCTTCGAATGCTCGGCTGACTTGGGGCCGTCATCACGGTGTTAACATTATTACACCACCTCTCAGTCCAACTGCTTTCCATTGCCTCATTGCAGGCGATCGAGCAGCCAACACTTGTTTTAAGTTCTTCAGTTTCTCTTTTTCCTCACTGCATATGTTGACAACGAGTTTGGACCAATATTGTTTCCTTCGATGGAGTGGTTGTATAGTTTAAAAATACCTCTTAGGAAGCCCTAGAAATCTCGTGAAGGTGTCGAGAAATTGTCACGTTTGTTAATCCTTACAAAGATTATCGAAATTAAAGCTTTAAGATAGAAATCGAGCAGCTTGTTTAGTTTTTGCGAAACAAAAAATCAATTATGTTGAGAGAATACTGGTTAGGAGGATATACTTAATTGATTTCTATAGTGGTAATTCATCTTTTTCCTTTTATAGTTTATCTTCTACTTCATCCCCACTGATTAGTCATGGGGTCGAAATGCGATACACATCGGATCTCACATTCCTAGAAGGCTATCCCAAGCTGTGAAATAGTTAAGCATTTATATCCAGAAGCCTAGCGAGAAGTAAATCTAGGCGACGGGAGAGTTCGATGAAATGCGTGGAGGCTTTGGATGGATACTGATGAATCCGATGCATGCACAATTCTAATGCAGAAAATACTCGATTCACTTCATCATAACAAGAGCTGAGTGATGACCAGAGGGTTTTTCTTGTGCTGTCTAGAATTATTCGACGTTGTCGTTCCCTGTGCCTCATAAGCCATAAGTCGAGGCCGTGTGTCCCATTGATTTCGACGTTAAACATCACGTTGGCCGATATGTCAACGATACTGTGCTGGTAATATGTCAAGCTCTTCCTATTGAAGTCCCTAAAAAGCACATCTAGTCGATAGGACTCAGTTTTTCGAGCCACTATACCCGCAATTCTCTTGAAATATCTTTGTGTAAAGTGATATAGTTAAATCAGTATTGTACACTCGAGTAGATTTCCTTCGCATGTAGCTGGTCTGCAAGCAAATGTGCGATCGGTGTTGTTGTGGTGACGGCAGTGATTCGGTTCGGCTTTCAATTGCACTTGTGGTTGAACTTCTTCCAGAATGCGAGTATGGATAGCGTCGTTGATATTCTATGTATTTGTATTCGCTGTTTGCGAAGCCCTCCGTACGACCATTGTTTGTGTTCTGCCAAAGCGGCTCTCGGCCGAATTGCTTCTTGAGGTAATGCATGAATTTGTGAACAACGATCATTCGTTTTTTAATAGGAACATGGCTTGATCATGAATGCAATTCAATGCATAAATGAAATCACCATCCTGAATAGAACAAGAACGTCCTGGGTGATGGAAGATAACAAAAAGCGCTCAAGACCTTCATGAGATTAAATGAAGAGCTGCGTACCACAGTTATGTAGCCTCTAGTCTTGTAAATGACTACTTATTTTTAGCTTCTACTAGCCTACATTCTTGGCATATTCTGAATTGTGGTCCAATCCAATCTTTCTCAATATTGAATAGGATATTCGACCATTTCAAATACTTTCGAAGGCTAAAAAGTGAAGAATGACAAAATTAGGAACCACCTAACCATATCTCTGTAGCTCGATATTTGTTCTGAACTGAAATGAACGTGTCTGAAACAGGACATCTTTTTTTCCTGAATTATGATGTATCTAAAAATGGCTAGCAAATGGTAACTCAGACAAAGAGAGAGGAGTGCAGGGTTCAACATTTCGCGTGAGTTGACGAAATAATGGCAACTTTTAAAATAGCGAAGAATTTGTTCAGTTTGTCGGTACACTTCAAATTTGCACACCAATGTTCGACGTGAACACGGTGCTCGACACCTACGGCCTGTTCGGCGTGTTCATCGAGATCACCGTCATCGAACTCGCCAACTGCTACTTCCAGCGGGACGCGATCGCCAATCCGTGTCCGATCGTGAGTTCGATACTCTGTTCTGAATTCGTTTTTCTCTACTTCTTGTAACGATTCTCAATTGCTTTACTTTGACTCGACATACGTATGTTCGACGTTTTGGCAGATTTCCCTTCTGTTCTGCATCGAATAGGGTTTTATTGATATCCTGGTATCAAAATCAAATACTATCGCTACGTCACAAGCTATGAACCCTTCTCTTTATCGGATACCACGTGGTTTCACTAAACCATTCATCAACGAGGGAAAACTTTCAAGATGCAGCCAAACAAAGGGACAAATCCGAACGAGTTCTTGCAATATATATATATATATATATATATATATATGTCTAGAACTGAACGAAAAAAATTCACAGAATATGCGATGAAAAGTCATATAAAATAAGAAATAAAAACAGAAATAGGGTAAAGCGCTTGGTCTTGTTTATCATATAGTGGTGCTTTGTACACGCAACACCTTATAACATTGCAAAGACGTAAGTAATGATGCTGAGATACTTGCAAAATTCTGGACCGCAGGTGTCTGCGGTGGAGATCGAACAGGCTACTGCTTTTCCCGGAGGTTTGCGCGTTCACCACGCCACCACGCGGGTCCTTCGTTTCGCCATTCTGTTAGCCGTGTTTTATCGTGCTCCTTGTTCTGTGTTCTATCAACAATCACCCATCAACAGGATTGATATGGGGGCACAAATCGACATCGAACCCAGTTAACCTGAAGCTGCACCGTCTATATAAATAAATATATATATATATATATATATGTGTTAGATGTGTAGCCGGCCGTCTTGGTATGACTCTTGATGCTTAAATTTGGTTGTCTATTCTGAAGAACAGGGAGCGGATAGCACAGTGGTAGTGATGTCCGTCATCACGGGCATGTTGTTGGCCCGCTTCCGCTCCGAGCCAGCCAAGTCTCTCATCCCTTCGCGCTCGGAAAATTACTACCGGACTTGTCTGGGAAAAAATCACTTCTGCAATCTAAGTGGGAACGCTCCAGCCCGGCTCTCCGGCTCTCTCAGGACTCTAAGGAGAATTGCTCCACCAGCATTCCACGACATTCAAGATGAAATGGAAATCTTCAAGCACCAACCGAAGCCACACGTAAAAGTTGGAAGATCTTCGTAGACAACGGATGCGAGGAAACGAATCGAATATGGGAAGTGCTGGGATCCGCACAGCAGACGTGAAGACGGGTCATATAAAATAAATAAAAAAGATTCTGAAGAACATTCCAGCAAAGGAGGAAATTTTTTTGTACGCATCTTCTTGAGTGAGTGAAAAACGTTCTTCTGGTAGAAATCCGGTTTCGTTTGGAATGAATTCCTCTCGTGTCCAATTTGAGTATTCTTGCCACATGGGATCTAACCCTCACTTCTAGCAATAACTTGCTTCAAAAAATCCATTCTATGAGTGCAAAGAAGTTGTGAGTTGCAGATGTTGAAATCGACAGTACTGACACCATTTCATTCATGTGTATCGACGTATGGCTTTGTATTGAGGACAACGCGGAGTACTCTGTCATCAGCTGGACATCTTGAGCGTGGTTAATTTCTAAAGATGGATAACATTGCCAAATTCGAAGCGATTTGTCTATTAAGGCACCATAAATGATTGCTCTTTAAATAGTCAAAAAGTTACTTTATAAGTAGAGCTGCGTTTCTGAAACTCCAGGTGTAAGTTATTCTGTATACCTCTCAAAAACTTAGAGAATGTTCTCCTCGATACCGTTAGTACTCATAAATAAATAAAGATAGATTCGTAAGTAGATCTTCAAATACCACAAAAGTTTGCTGACAACAAAGTTCTTCACTCAACGAGTGATCTATTGTGGTAGAGGCAAGAACTCGAACTTGCCGCTTTCGAAAACCTTTATTTTGTCTACTTTATTTATGGAACTAGGGATCCCATATTTTGGGGATCCCAGCACTTATTTTGTTTAAATTGTTGCAATTTATTCGTTATCCACGAAAGTCTTTGGATTTGCGCGTGGCTCCAGCTGCTGCCTGAGGTTTTTTTCCATTTCCGTCACAAATGTCGTCGAATGTTGGTCAAATAGCTTCTCCCTAAAATCCTGGAATAGCCGTGCTAGGGCATTCCCGGTTGTTTATCACGGGCAATCCGCCTGCTTTTTGTGAATTGATAGGGCGAGCCGACCTCGAGATCTCTGGTAATTTTAGCGCCAATTTTTCGACCCATGAGGGATACCACGCTTGGTTGTCCTGATGCGAAGTACGAACAAGGCGTATATTGAACGACATCACTACCACCGTGATACTTGCTCCCTATCAAAAAAAAAAATTGCAAGATGGAATTTTATAAGAAAGAGATAACTATTTTACACAGTATTAGGAATCTGATTTTGCTGAACAAATAAATAAACAATCAAACGTAAGTTTTATGGATACCAAATGAAGCTTTGTGGTTAGCAAAGTGAATGGACAAATCGGAGCCAATTCCTATGTGATATATTTTAAACTGAATGAATAGTGGTTTAATCTGGAAAATATGTGGTGACAACTCATCTGAGATAGAGCCAAATATAAACGTTGAGAGAGAAGAGTAGCATGAAGAACGAGGTTCTGTTTCCGGTGACGTCGTGCTACCGGCGATCGAAGGCCATTCGACGTGCCATCTACTTGTTCCTGACGCAGATGTCAGCCGCCTACGTCTCGTTCTTCATCGCTCGGTCGTTCTGGAGGCTCGGCATACATCCGATCCACTTGGAACTTCTTGCTGCTGAGCACTGTACAGCCGATCTTACGGTCAGTCTGATACTTGCTTTTTTCACTTCAACCAAGAACACTCGAAAGAATTCGAACCAGTTCCATTCCTCAATCTGTTTGCAGATATTTTTGGTATAATTACATTGACCCTTTCACGACGTCGGTCATTTTCGCATTTTGGGACCGCGAGTCATTGGAGCACAATTGAGATGCGCATTGAAACCAAGCTGTACGGTCTGAAACGTGTAAAAACATAAGTATTAAAATAAATTCGCATTGTCATGAAGGGACTCAGAGGATTAGTAAGTTGCTGTAATACGTGGAATTGAGTACTTCATGAATTTGCGTATTATTTTTCTTATTATTCAAAAGGATTTCGAACAATCTCGCGCAGTAATGTTTCTGGAATCCCTTCAAACAAGAACGACTTGGAGATCTTAAGAAATATAAGGAAAAACCGCTACTCATCTTTTCTTATTGTGAATTTCTGTCATTTTCAGACAGCGGTGACTATCGGATGTCTCATTGAGGGCGGAGCTACATTTTTAGGTCATTAAACTCATTTAGCCGGGACTTTCATGAAGTGAAAAAGTTGATGAACTATTTTCTGACAACTTTAGGTAGAGCTTTCGACAAATTTGCTGGCGAAAACTTCGAGGACATGTGGGTGTGCAACATCGTGTCGTGTGTCTTCAGCGGATTCATCTGTGCTCTGGGTGAGCTTGATACAAAATGTAACACGATTGAGATTTTCGATATATTGAAAATCAATGACCAATTGAAATGGGGCACCCTATTTTTACTGTTCCTACTGCTCAGTGTAGAAATATTTTTAGCTTTATGAATACAACTTCAGTGATGCTGAGGTATTTGCAAAACTCCGGACCGCAGGGGTATGCGGTTGGGAACGAACGCACCATCGTCCTTTCCGGGGAGTAACGCCTTCACCACCACACCATGCGGGTCCTTCGTTTCGCCTGTCTCTCCAGGTCAATCCCGTTGACGGGTGATTGCTAATGGAAGAGATCGATAGAACTAGCTGAAAGGCAGGTAAAGCGAAAGACCCGCATAGTGTGGTGGTGAACGCGTTACTCCCCGGAAAGGACAGTAGCGCGTTCGTCCCTCACCGCATACGCCTGCGGTCCGGAGTTTTGCAAATATCTCGACAACATTGAAGTTATATTTCGTAATATACCTTCCATTAAAAGAGTGAGCAATAAATAATAAGTTAAAATTTACGGATACAACTTGAACAAGCGTAGGAATAGTTTATCCATTTGTCGACTATGAACAACTAATTTTTTCGAGGGCAGGTTGCACCAAGCGATAGAAGTTTAATCCGTTTGTGTCATCGCCTCTAGTTTCTATTACCTTCTTGTGCTACCCATTACTGTGAAGAGACACGAAGAATTGCCACTGAAGGCTCCGTTCATCGTTCATCTCAATTGTGCGCAAAAACTCAACATGACCTCGCTAGATGAGCATTAATAAATCTCTGAACTCTTATGAGATAGTGGGACAAGGTTGAGTGTACTCACACCTTGTCATTAACTTCTCGATGTGCTGCAAAGTACACGCAGGGCTTATTCGTTAGTGACCACTGGAAATAGAACTAGAAATCGCTTCTTCATTTAAGATCTAAGCTTTTGACTGAATCGACGTGAAGGATACAGTGTGTGTTATGTTACAACACATGTACAACGTTGTACAGCTACTCACATATCCGTGTTTGCTTGCGTACATACAAAGCTAGAAATCAGTCCGGAATAGCAGAAATGAAAAAGTCATCGTCAGAATCCACGCGCATCTCATAGTAAGTACGTTGTCGCTTTTGGTTCGGGTTTAATAGCCCCCTTGGGGACACGCCTAACCGCACGACTTATTTGCACATAATCACTCACATAAGGGATATCCATTTGTAAATGGCAAATATCTCGGTTATGAGTTGTCCATTGTTTTAGGAATAAATTACACTGGAATGTACGCCAATCCTCTGGTAGCATGGGCTTGTACGTTTAATTGCGAAGGTCTGACCCATGTTGGTCATCTGCTAATCTACTGGCTTTGTCCACTCATTGGATGGTGAGTCTAAAACAATTACTTCTATTTCTCAACGATAACAGTATTATTGAAACAATCAGAGTTCCATAAGGTGTTATCATCAAGCGTCGTCGTGTACATCAACTCTTAAGCGGGCACTTTTCTATTTTTTTTCTACATAATCCATCTTTCACATCTACTCTGCGGATTCCAGCACTTATCATATTCGATTCGTTTCCTCGCACTCATCATCCACGAACGTCTTCCAACTTTTATTTGTGGCTTCGGCTGCTGCATGAAGATTTTCATTCATCTTGAATGTCGTAGAAATCTAGTCGAGTCTATTCTCTCTGGAGTCCAGAGATAGCCGAGTAGAGCGTTCTCACTTTTTTTTCAGAGAGTGATTTCTTCCTGGACTAGTCCTCTACCAATCTGACGTCTCCGGAGTAATGAGAGGCTTGATGAACCCGGAGCGGGATCGCACCAGCAGCTCGCTCGTGATGAACGGCATCATCACCACTCTGTTATCCGTGCCCTAACCAGATACCAATATCATCATATCCTTAAATTTTCGTTAGCTTTTTCAATCTCATATCGCCTTTCTCATTTTGCCTGTGAAGAGATACAAAAGCAAGCCAACAAAATTTAATTCGTATACCTAAGGTGCATTTCATTTCTTGGAACTACGTTAATCGTTATTGTTTATGTGTTTTTTAAATCTATTCTCCTGTTCCGAAGTTTCGCTGGTTTACCACCTTAAGGAGGAAGGCATGTTTCTCCAGGATCTTGAATTGCGATGCGCAACAGGTCATCAGGTTCATCACTCGACAAGGTCACAAAACTCGACAAGCGCAACATTTCCATTCAAAGGCCAATCAAGGAGTGAACGAAAGCCGGTAATCGTCGTTGTTCAGCGCCGAACCTATTTCTGCGCGGGCAAGTCTTCTTCCACACCATAAAAGGCACCGACTGCCTAGATCGGCGAGCGATCCCAAAACCATGATGGATAGCTCTTGACTTAAGAAAAGAAATTTCATACCAGTACCAGTCAGTTGAAAATTGTGCTGAAACCGGGACTGAGCCACACAACTATTAAGTATTAATCAACTTATAAGTTCTGTAGATGTACGGGAGCAATATAATTTAATTCAATCATTAGCCCTCATTAAGCCTAGCCCATCCATCACTTTATCTATTCCGCTTTTTACACAGGAAATATATTACCCGTCAATTTTACTTTTCGATGCGAGAATTCTTAGTGGATAGACGATATTGTATAATATTTCTTGTAAGGTCTCAATAAAAAGTAGTTTTTTCCAAATTAAGTTGTTAGTTCACGAAGAAATAGATCTGCTTGAATGATCATCAGGGTAGTGACATTACTCAGAGTGATCTACCACTTTTTGCTCGTTGTCTTCTGTATAATTGCACGAAGCGCTACAATTGCAGCATCCATTTTTACTATATGCAGGCGAGAATGCCCCTTATTTGAGTCATAGTAATCTCTTTCTTACTTACTTGGATAACTGGATGGCCCATCCTCACTGGTTGTGCGGATCCCAGCATAATCTCCACTCCCTCCCTCGGAGCTTTGCTGATTTAGCCATTGTGATTCCCTGGAGTCCTGAGGTCAGCCTAGTCAATGTCTTCGCCAGGTCGTCACCACCACAGGTAGTCACTGCCTTTCTGGATCAGAGGGAAGTTTGCCACCACGCTACTTTGATACCAGGACGATGGTAGATCCTGGTATTGGTTTACTCTTAGCTGGGCTTCGTGATGGATACGCCGGACTCGTTCTTAGCTTAGGAGACCCTGCTAGCGGGATGAATCTCCCGCTGTTTATCATAGGCTAGTACCGAGGAACACCTCTCAGCCACGATGAGGCAATAAACCGTTGGGTGGGTAATCTCTTTCTAAAAAAAATAAAACTAGCGTTAAAGTAGAAGACAAGCAGAGAATGTAAGAGGAGTGATCTCATTCTCTGTTCTTGAAGTGAATAAGTGAATTGAGAACTAGCTTGTATTTTTAGGACAAAGAGTTGTCGTTTAGGGCTTGCATACAAGTCGTTTGCTACAACGCAATCAACTTAGTGAGACGAGTGGTCGTTTCAGTCTTTATCATGGTAACCAGCTGCAGGAAAAGAGTGGAATATAGCGGCGAAAGGGCTGAAATGGGATATAGCTATTTGTTGAGAGGAGTGAAGAATGGACTATGACGCTTAGTTTCATCATCTTCATTCAACTTATCTAATACAATGTTTTAAGCATTACACCCGATTTCAAGTGTCACAAGTGTCACATGACCGGGTTACATGTGCTTAGGTCATTTACCTAGTCCTCATCAAATTCGGTTGACTTTTCGGAAGGCATATTACATGGACCAATATTCATTTTACTATTTTACATGACCCATCGTCATATCTACTGTGTGGATCTCAGCACCTCTTGAATACTACTCGTTTTCATCGTAGTAATCGTTCACAAAGGTCTGCGAACGTTTCACGTGTTTCAGCTGCTGCTTTAGCATTCCTTTTTTTAACTGTCCTAGAATGCTGGTTGAGTCGATCCTCCTTGTAATCATAGTGATTGCCGAGCTAAGGAGTTCTTACGTAGATAGGAGGAGAGCGTTGAGAGATTGAACTACCACCTTGCTTTCTAGTGGACTACATCATTAGCCAGTCCGTTACCTTCACCACAAGGATCATCTTCAATCTGCAGGATAGTCAGTTGGGTTTCCCTACGAACCATTTGAATGTTTTCAACTTTATTGGCGTTTATATTTCGATTGTGTGTGAGGAACACCAACTGTGGCAAATGTTGTTTTTTCGTATACTTTCATATTGCTTCTCTACCTGTAACTTGACGAGTTCGTGGAAGGAATCGGTTACCACTGACTTGGTGATATTTAATACCAATACGATTTATTAGAAAACAAAAATCTTGTGAATTTACCCAGTGTTACAACCGAATGCAGTGGTAGGCTTTACACCATGATTTATAATGGAGGACATTTTTTATAACTTGTTTGTGATATTTTGCAATGAAAATGTCAGGTCTGGAAAGACGAACAGCTCATCTACATCAGTTCGTATTCAATTGCTTAGCTGAGCACCAGTTGCAGATTGCTTTAGAGCTATAGCAAATTCTAAGAAATTTTAACAATTCATTGAAGGTATCTGGCAGAAGTGCTGTTGATGGACAGCGTCGACGATGAGGAAACCGCTGTCAAAAAGAACGACCGAAGAAAACTACGAACACCATAGCTGATCCAGAGGAACAACGAAAACAATGATGAGGATTTCAACGTCATTTTCCTTAATCAGTATCTCGGGCCGAGACCTGTATTTTTAATTATTCATTTATACCCGTGTTCATTTTAAAGTGAAATCGTTCTGGAGGCTTCCAGTGCGCTGGGGGTTCGTCGATGTAATTTCTGGCTGTCCGGTACATGTGAGATTTGTTTTATGGCCCGTGATGATGCCAGTATTCTACTTGTGTTTGGTAGGTTTTTAAGGCAACGTTGAAAAGTTTAGTAAGACAGAATCTGTTAGCTGGTAATGGCGAAGTGTTCCTGCGTGTCAAACCGCAAGATCGGTAGTCCGCTTCATCAATTCACCAGTGCTACCTACTGTCTGTTTACAATTCCATGAAAAACCAGCTAAACGTACGGAAAGAACTGGTGCTGAAATGGAAAGAACTTAGCTGCTTCTTTTCTTTACGTGAGCCGGCAACTGTGATAACAAATTACTTATAGTAGCGCCGCTGTCTTGAAATTCCAGAAAGCCTTCACCACCCTGCATCTACTGGGGATGCACCAGTCAAATGGGGATTGTATTGTAACCCGTACGATTCGTCGTATTTCATGGGAAAGTTCTACGCTAGCTTTGTTCCTAAACTCACAAAATTTTTATGGCCGTGTGATTCGAAATTGATCTGTTACTTCCAAATGTATTCCCAGATCACTTTTGCTCCCATATGCAAGTTAAATACTTAGATTAAAGTTAAATTAAAGTTAAGAAAAGTTCTAGCTCAAATAATTTGAAATCCGATAGGATCTCGAAATGGAATAACTAAGAAGGTTGAACAAGAGATTACACGAAGTCCCGTGAAATCCGTTGCAGCTTTAAATAGAATTAATACTTTTCTAGATATTTCACTTGGACATCTAGATGATTCATCGTGTTCAGGAGCTTGTCCTCTCGTTGTGTCGTCACGAAGCCCCATCCATAGACAGTTGGAGTCGCATATGCTGCGGCTTAACGATCTGTTGTCTTCCCTAACCATTGACATGCTGAATGCTAGTTGAGTGTGATTCTCCATAAAGTCTCAGGATAGCTGTGATACGCTTTCCCAGATCTTCCCCCCTAAGGTTACTGGTCATAATGGATGGGCAAAGAATTGTTGCCGCGTCATTAGGACACTTCTAGGACAACGGCGTTCCCTACGATTGGCCAACCGAGAAGATAATGACGGTTTGATCAGTTCCAGTAGTTAGATGTTGCGCATAAATTCTTTCAACGCATTTCATAGGATTTCTATCACTACCATTATGAAATGCCTCGGTAGCATGAGCCCGGAACAGCGGCCAGCACAGCGGTTGGACGTCGAGCGGACGGCTGCTGATGCCACCCTCACCGGTTAATTCGACAAATCGCCTCAGTCTTCTGGTTTAACGTATTTTAGTAAATCTTTCGAATTTGAGTACACAAAAGAAAAGTAGTTAGAACAGCACGACCGCTGAAGAACCGTTTATGAGACAAAACGAAGAGAAAAGAATGAATGAGAGACGTCCCCATTTTTGAGCATAAAGATACAACTAAAATGGCAGTTATCGACAAGACACCGACATTCAATCGCGAACACGAACCGTTAACGAATCGGTTCATAGAATTCTCAGGAGACTTTCCAAAATAATGCTAATTCAACATGCTTATTATCATGTTACAGCACAACTACTTTCTTTACAACTATCACTATTCTTTGGACATTTGTCAAATACATCGACCTTCCTTAGAAGAAATAGAAGGAGCATTTGTTGTTGCAATCA